AGTTCTTCATATGAGTATATATTTTATATTATCACTAAGCTTGTTGGAGCATGTCTTTATTAAGATTTAATTTTAAGATTACTTATTAATCCAAAAAACAACAAGATTTATTAGATGTCTTTTCTAGAAATTCTTATCTTATACCAAAAGAATGAGATGTAGCTTTTCATTAATAAAAAATAATTTTCTAGAAGTTGGAACATTTTTATCTTTAAGCAATAAAATCAACATTGACTATTGACTTAATTTTTTTCAAGCAAGTTCAATCAAATATGTCTTTTGATACTCTTGTTCACAATATTAAAAGTAATTATTCTAAGTCTCATGATACTTCTAAGTTAAAATTTAAGAATAATCTATTTTATTTTTAGGAATAATTATACATTTCAGAAGGTAAAGTAAAATTACGTGTTCTTCAAGCTCATTATAACTTTCTTGCAATTGGATATTTTGGATATAATAAGTTTTTAGAGCTAATATCTAAAACAAATTAGTGGCTTCAAATATAGAAGGCAATCAAAGACTTTGTACAATCATATGGAATTTATTCAAGATTAAAAAATCTTTATTATTAACCTTATAAACTTTTTCAACCATTATCTATTCCAAAACAACCATGGTCTTCTATTTCTATGGATTTTATCACACATCTTTTAGTCTAAGGTTTGTATAATTCTAAATTTTTTATAGTAGATTATTTTATTAAAATAGCATATTTTATATTATTTATAAAATTTATTATAAATAAAGAAATAATTAAGTTTTTTTTATAATATTTATTGCTATTATAGATTGTCTAAAGATATTATATTAAATATAGAGACTAAATTTGTATCAAGATTTTGGAAAATCCTTTTCAAGATTCTAAAAGTGGATACAAAGCTCTCTTTGTCTTTTCATCCTCAAATTGATGGACAAAAAAAGTGTATAAACTAAGTTTTGAAAAAATATTTAAAATGTACCATCAATTACAAATAAGATGATTGAATAACTCTTTTATTATTAGAAGAATTTATCCATAATAATATGATATATTCTTCTATGCCACAAATATATTTTTTTTATTAATTATAGTTATTATCCACATCTTGATATTTTTGACTTCTCAAAAGTTGATAATCCTTTGGCAAAAGATTTGATAAATCATTTATCTGAGCTTCATACAACAATGAAAGTTAATTTAAAAGCAGCTCAAGAACGTCAAATGATCAATGTGGATGCCTATTGCAAGGAGCAACTTCAATTCGACATTGGTGACAAAATATGGTTATTTTATTATAATATGAAGACTAGCGACATTTGTGACTAGTTGGATTATTATAAGCTTAGACTAATTCTTATTTGTAAATAAATTAATCATATTGCTTACTGATTATATTTAGGGAGTCTATGAAGATCCATCCCATATTCCATATATCTTTTCTTGAGTTATATAAGACAATGAACATCTCTGAAAGAAGACAAATGCCACCTACTTCTATAGAAGTCAATAATAATCAAGAATTTGAAATAGAAAAAATCTTAGATTTAAAGCAATACCAAAACAAGTTAGAATATCTTGTTCATTAGCATGGATATGATATTAATGAACACACATAGAAGCCACCAAAGAATCTTACAAATATAGCAAAAAAGATTGAGGTTTTTCATCAACAACATCCATCAAAATCAAGATGAAGAATAATAAGATCTATGAAAGATGATGACCACTCGTCGTGGAACTTATTCTAAAAAAGAAAAGATAATATCACAAGCATACATATTTATTCCAATAATTACTTATATAATTAGATAGAAATAGATAAAAATAGATTAATTTCATAATATCTTTTAGAAAAGCTTTTTAGAAGCTACATACATGCAATTTTGACTTTATATGTATTTGTAGTTGATTGATAGGTTAGAAACTTGGTCAACAAATTAACCATGTATTACATATGTTAATAGTTTATGGAACAAGCTAATTATATGACATACATATAAAAAAATTGCCTAGAAAGTTAAGATATATGCCTTGCAAAGTCAACATGTATTGAAGATCCTATAGAATATTATCATGAAGCTCCTAGTTAGATAGTATATATGGAGGCAAGAATGAAGCCTTCTTTACTCTTGATAATGCCTTTCTACTCCATAGTCTTATTTCAAGACTTTCTAATCTTCTTGTTCTTGACAATAGCCATTCTAATTTAATATTATATCATCTTTGAATGATTCTTCAATCTTTTTAAGTGACACAAGAATGTATTGAACTTTTAGTTCTCTGAGATTCATGTCTTTGACAATAAAGCAAGTTGAAAAATTATACATTTTGTAGAAAATCTTATACAATTTAATATAGCTCCAAACTTTCTTAGACTAAAAAAAATCTAATCTAAAGAAAAATATTATTATAAGAATCTTTGTATATAGAGTGCAACAAAATATATGATTTACTAAGTCTTAGTATCAATGTCAATATCAGCAAAATATTAATCTTTCTCTTATTCAATATGACTAATGATTGAACCTCTTCAAAATGCAAGATAAGATTTTAGGATAATAAAAACTACAACTTCCAAGAAGTTTTTCATTAGAAGATGGCTCTTAAATTTGTAGCATTATTGGACATGGTGGAAGATCCAAGTAAAGAAATTACAATTTTTACTACAACATTTTGTATAATAAATATTTTGTTTAACAAAATGGCAGGGCTTTTGAAGAGGTGCTAGACACATTGATTAAAGCAAGTGTCTTCTTGCTAAAAGATGATTTGTTGTCACCCGCAATATTCCCATCACTTTCTTTGATTGCTGAATAGGAAGACAGTCCTCCTAAAAAATTGTTTGATCGTTGTATACCACTTTTAATTTTTTGTGATAAAAAAACTAGTTATTTTAATGACTACAAACTTGCCATTTGTTATATATTTTTACTTTCAAAATTGATAGTATTATTCGAAATAGGATTTGAAAATGTATTTCAAACTTATATCTTCAAATAACACAAACATATCATCTTGACTTTCGTTCAACCAATTTTGTTGTTTGTATGAATTTGGTTTCAATTATTTTAGTACTTTCAAAGTGTTTCAAAGTGTTCCAAAGTGTGATTATATCCAATTATGCTATGTAGTTTGCATAATTTTATATTGCAAGTAATACAAATAAATATTTTTCACTAGAATGAAAACTCCAATATAAAATCAGATAGTGAATGGTCATATAAACAAACTTGCACAAAAGAAATATAAAGTTTACTTTTCAAGATAAACTTGACTTATCTTGGTCATTGTGGCCAAGGCTTTCAAATTCCACTCAATGTAGCACATCTTTGGATGTATGTTGCTACCACACATTAACTTAGCTGATATGCTCCTAAACAACAACCTTATTGTTGGATTCTATTCCACCTTAAGTGTAAAATGATTTACACTCATGAAATCTTTATGTTGCAAAAGCTTCACAAAAAAATGCACATATAATGTCCCGCATACAAGATGCCCACAATTGTGCATATACATACATACTCAATGTATGTGCTCTGAAACCTTATGGAGTTATTATCTTGTAAATTGCTTATTTAGCACAAACTTCAATTCTCTTCACATTGCCTCCTACGGCTATGTTTAAGTCCTCCCATTCATCCAACTGCAAAGATATAGAACACACAATAAGAAGTAATACAAATTTGTATCTCTTTGCCACTCCACTAGCCTAGATAGTGGACCATGCCTCATCTCCATTTGTGTTCTCATTGACATTATCAAATATTGGGATCTTAGACATGTATCTTACAAAATCTAATGCCCATCACCTCTTGTTTGTCTTAGCTTGTATATTGTATCTCACATAGAAGAAGTTGAGATCCACTTTGTTAGGCTTCTCTCTAAATTAGTCACGCATAAGTTCTCTTTAACCAAAGTTCTTGCATGCTTTCTCTCTTAGAAATATTCCAAAACAACATATTAATCTTAATTAACATCACAATTAATATCTAAATTTGATTCACTTTTGATGAAAACAATGAAATATGCAACAAGCCAAAGAGGATTTTTATCATCTCTTATTTATCCCATGTATTTATCTCCCCTTGAGTTGTTTTATACAAGTGATTATCATAACAGCTATAATGTTTAAACATAACATCAACCATCTTGACCATAATATTGACAAAGCAATCTCTATATTTTATAATTTTTCTATATTATTTTTACATACAACAAACTTGTCATCCATTTAAAAGATATTAAATAGGTTGCATTTTTTATAAAAATGTTAGTCTTGTTTTAGAAACATTCAAATGAATTAAATCAAAATTCATTTTTCATAATTTAGAACGTTAACTACAATAAAAGGGATTTTCAAAAAATTTCATTGCATAAAACAACTAACTTCAACCAAGTACATTTAATATAATTTAGAATCATTTCAAGATAAGTCAACCACAATGATGATACTATTAGTAGTAAAGTCATAATCTCCAACTATGGTTTACAAGTTGATGATATTTCAATACCCTCTTCCTTACTTCACAATGACTTCAAACTATTGGATGATGGAAGGTTGTACCTGAGTTCTGTAATTTGTTCCAATTTTGACTGTTAAAATCCCAACTACACAATCTTAACCACACATGACATGTGACAGATATTGCATTGGATATGTCTGACGCTTGTGTCAAGTTGTAAAAAAATAAAAATAACAAACAAACAAACAAATCAACACTTCCAGGTATAGATCACCAATTTCAAAAACATTCGTTAATGTCAACTCAATGTGAAATGAATTGTTATTCTATGTAAGATAATCAGGGTATCATCATTTCCACTCCTGAAGTGTTTTTCCAAACATACTAAGCTTTCGCAGGACGCAACGTTAAGTTTGGCATTATAAAGCTAAGTGAAGCGAGTGAACGGTGGCTGATGATGTCGCCCGATTATGAACAATGAAAATTAGCTTAAAGCAAGGATCACACCAGCAAATCAGCAGTTCCAAGCACCAAACTTATCTCATTTCGTATGTGACGCAACAACACCTCTTTATTATTTGTCGCCTCTTCATTATCACTGCTCCATGACACTCCATTCTAGCCCTACAATTCACTTTCACAGTGGATTGATGGCAGCCAAGGACGAATGCTTGTGCAAATATAAATTTCAGCTAAACGACATTCAGAGTTTTTGCAAAAGAGAACAAAAACTTAATAAAAATGTCACCTATGGCCCAAAGTTCCACCTTCATATGGGAATGGCCGCCCAAAAAGGTCCTTCCAGAACAGCTTAAATGAACACTCCTACCAATAACTCAGATATTGGTAAATAGCGCATTCAAACCATAAGATTAACCTGCAAAGGTGATAAAAAGCGATGTGGCGATATCAAGTTCGGACCCATGCCGTCTGAGGTTAAAATGTGGTGGTTGATCCATTCTGAACAAGGGTCCACATGCAGTTCATTGCCTGCTTGAACTCCGTGCAAGGTCTCCGCCAGAAAAGCAGCCTCGGAAATGTAAGAACCGGCCAAACCGGCCCAAACATTACGATAGCTGGTAAAACAAAGCCGATAATTTCAACGTGTGCCTCAACTGCAGCTTATCCCAATGTCCAAGCAGTCAGTCAGCCATCTTGCTTGACACGCCGCTTGCGGGGTTGAGTCCATTTCACCAACTTTGGCACGTAAAAGTCCTCCTCTTCAGCCTGCTGTATGACCAAAGCACAACACAGTGCATCCCACATAAGCAGGCAGCATTACAAACCCCCAAAGAAGAAAGCATCTCGCATGAAGTCAGGCCACCAAGGTGATGTGGCCATTCATTTCAGCCCCCACATTCCAGCTCCACCGTGGACCAATCTAAACCGAGAGAGAGCTTGTCTGCACCAGATACAAGCACAAAGCCCAAATCTGTAGGAATTCGAGATAACCCACCAACCAACACAAACCGCACACCGACCTGGGCTTCCCGCCCCAAACACCTCCTCCCACTCCTACTCTGCTACTACTCTCACCACAACGCCAAACTACCAAACGCCAAACAAATTTCATCAACGCAATAAAACTGCCTGCCTACAAAACTTCAATGCTCCTACCCATCCAAATCCACCATGCTCCCGACGCCTACCTTATTCGATGTCATCCCCTCCAGGTTCACCCTCTGCACCGACGCCTGCAGTTGCCTCCGCGACAAACCCGGTCCTCTTCGCACCTCCGGCACCAGACCTTCCCGCACCTGGATTGGAGTCCTAGCTGACACCGACTGCGACCACACCGGCACCGTCCCGCCTTCGCTCCCCCCGCGTCCCGTCACCGACGCCGATTCTGCCGTTGAATCCAACTCGTAATCCACCGCCGTCACTGTCGGCCACTGTATCGGGGCGCTTGCCTGCGCCACTTCCCCGCCGTTCCCTTCCACATGATGCCCACCGTAGTTCCCACCCATCCCCCTCCTCACGCTCGCAAACACCATCGGTACCGCCGCCCGCCCCGCTTCCTCCCCGTCCTCCACCATCGCCGCGCTCCTGTTCATGATCGACTCGTGCGCCCGGATGTGGAACTGGTTCGGCACTATCTCTGGCACCAGCTGGTCTCTCCTCGAGCTGTTGCACGACATGTCCGCATCCCGCTGCATGTGCACCATCACTCTCGGCACATCCATTCTCTCGTGCTCCGGTCCTCCCGTGCCTGCCACTTCCACCGTCTCTCCCAGTCCCTCTTCCAACCCGTTCGCCAGCGCCGCTTTCATTGCTGCGTCTCTTTCCCACATCTCCGCCAGCGACGCCTGCAGTCGCTCCCTCGCAGCTCCTATCTCCACGATCGGCCGCGGGTAATTCGTCCCCAACTCCACGCCCGCTGCTCGAAGAGCGCTCGGCGGAGCATCCCATGGGTGGTGAACCCACTCGTTCGGTAGTCGTGCCAGTTCTGGGATCCACCTCCGCACATAATCTCCGTCCGGATCGAACCTGTATCCTTCCACCTGATACATAACAACACACCACCAACCATCCTCAGCCCTCTTCACTCCACAAAACCATCCTCCTTCACCATGCCCGTCTCCACTCCGCATTGCATCAAACGCCACCGCTGTCGTCGGAGTCCTGTCCGCACTCACCAACCAAATCCTCACCCCGCACCAAATCATTTCCACCCACCCATCAACTCCGCCCCGACTCCCGACTGCCCCTTCCTTCTCTCATAACACACTCCACTCCACCACACAACACCAAAAACCATACAAAACTCCAAACCCACCCCATGCCTCGCTACCAGTATCCTCCACACCCCTCTTGCCACCTCACTTCCACTCCCACCACACCACTCCACCGCATCCAGAAACCACATCCACCCAAATTGCGCCTCACCCCAACTGCTCCCACTCCACTCCCCCACACACCACCCACACCCATCGGCCACCTCTTCAACCACCCACCCTCCCACAAACTTCTTCCGTCCTCATTCCAACATCCACCTTCCTATCCTATTCCCACTCATCCCACAACACGCCCCCCCCATCTCCCACCCACCCAACACAACCATCACCACCCCCACTCCTCCACGCAAGCGTTTCGTACCTCGGGATTCTCTATCCGATCCAGCTCGTGCCCGTCCGGTAAACTCCCCGATATGTACTGCCACCCTAGCACGTCGCACTCCAAGTCTGCGTCCAGCAGCACGTCCCAGAAATACTTCATCCCCCACCTCCACGGCAGCTGCAGAAACTTCACCGAGAAACTCGCCACCACCACGCGGATCCGATTGTGCGCCCACCCCGTCGCCCACAGCTCCCTCATCCCCGCATCCACCAACGGGTACCCCGTCCGCCCTTGCCTCCACGCCTTGAAGTACCCCTCGTCCGCGCGCCACGGAAACGACTTCAAATTCGCCAGCAGCGACCTCTCGTGCGTGAACGGAAAGTGGAAACTCAAATATCGCGAGTACTCCCGAAACCCTAACGCCCTCAGAAACATGTTCACGCTCGCCTCCCCTCCCGCGTTCCCCTCTCGAGCCCACGTTATCTGCCTCTTCCGCACCTCGTGGAATATCTTCCGCACGCTCAGCTCCCCAAAATGCAGGTGAGGCGACAGCAGCGACGTCGGCGTCCCCGATGCCCCATCCGCCTTCTGCCTGTCCCTCGCATAGTCGATCAGTGGCGACCGCAAAAACGAATCCAGCGACTTGTTCGCGAACCCCCATCCCGGACACCACGCCCGTGCCAGCAGTGCGTTGCTGCTCTTCTCGAACTCGTCCTCCAGCCCCAGCTCCTCCGCATTGCACCCCACGATCTTCCCTGAAACACCACGCCCCCAACCACTTCAACACCACCACCACACATGCACCCCATCCCCCAACCACTCCCACACACCACCCACTCGCCTCCAAAATATCACCACCCCACACGCCCCTCACATCCACACCTCCCGCTCCGCTCACACGCCCACCATGCCTCTCCCATCCCCCCCCCACCCCCCACACTCATCCATCTCCCAACATCCACGTACCAATCGGACCCGTCAGCCTCCTCGGCGGCAGCAGTGGTGCCTCCGGCTCGAACGGCATGCTCATGCACTTCTTCCAAAACGCTTCGTACACCGTGAACGCCTGCCCTTCCTCATCATACACCTCCCAAGGCTCGTACAGCAAGTCCCCGTTGAACGTGTGCACCACTATCCCCCGCTGCGACAGCCCCTGCTTCACACGATGATCTCTCACCAGCGACACGGGATCTGCAACCGTCACATCCAACATTCACTACCACATCTCGTCACGCACATTCCCACACATGCCCACCATCTCTACCATCCACTTCCTCCGCACCTGTCCCCCATGCTCCCCGCTATGCAAACATTCCCCCCGCCGCTACCCTGCATCCCACTCCACATCTCTAGATCCCACATCCCACATCGCCCTCGATTACCTCCGTCACTGCTCCTCCCCCCCCTCCCCCCGCCACACCCGACACACTTCACCAATCACTCACCGTATAGATGATTGTAAAACACTTGCGTCGCACCCGTCGCCTCCGCAATCTCCAGCAGCACGCTCAGCGTATCCGGCGACTTTCTAAGGATCAGCGGAGAACCTAACTTCTTCAGCGACAGCTCCAAATGTGTCAAGCTCTGCTTCAGCCACCATCTCGACACGCGCCCCGGATGGAACTGACCGTCTTCCGCAGGAGACCACACGAACACTGGCACCACCGTCCCCGCCCTAGCAGCAGCAATCAGCGCGGGATTGTCCTCCAGCCGAAGATCGCGTCTGAACCACACTATTGTGCACGCCGCCATTCTCGGACGCCCCAAAACTCCTAATTCCTACCTTCTCAGACCCACCCACTTGTCCCTCTTCTCGCTACTCCGCTCCCTCGCGCATGCTCCGCCACCATACAGCATCCCAATTTCACTCCCCACTCTCACTCCTCCCTTCCAGAGCCACCTCGCGAATGCCAACGCCTCTCGCACCTGCTACCGCCGCAATCGCCACCGCCGCCGCCCTCGATGCATTCTAAGCCGCTCACGCGGGGCGCTTACTGCCCCACCCCGCTCCACACTTGCCGCCACCAATACCGGCGACCTCACACCTGCCGGCTACAACCCTTTCAACAGCTTGCCGAAGACCTGATCTCAATCCTCATCGCTGACAGGTCTCTGGCGCTTCCCACCTCGCGCGAGATCGAGACCTCCCACCATCACCACAACCTGTTCCACAGCCACTGCGTCGATCAAAGCTCCCACCTCCTGCTCCCTGCACCAGTCCATAACCAGAACTGTCGGACGTCAACCCTCACACGCAAACTGCAGCTGGCATCAACTGCTGTCCTCCAGGCCACCAAATCCTCACACCCTACATTACAGGGCACCGCACACACAACCGCGACAACTCGCCGCGGCAGCAGCAGAAACCAACCATTCCTTCCACACCCGATTCAGAACGACCAAACCCCTCTACACCCCATGCCTCCACGACCTCACCCTGCTCAAATCAACCACCTTCCTCACCACGCGCACGGCCCTCATTCCCCCTACCTCCTTCACATCGAACCACATCCGCGCTGTCTCTCTCTCTCTCTCTCTCTCTCTCTCTCTCTCTCCCCCAGCACGAACATCCACCTATCTCAGCATGATGAGACTTACACTTGAACAGACCTGGAACACCACGTCCTCGTGGACACCACAGCCGTGAAATCCCTGCACGAAACCCAAATTCCTTCGCGGCCAACGTCCGTTTCTCACACAGACCGCAGCCTTCCTCAAATTAATGTCCTTGCCCAGTGCCGGGACCACCCCACTTCCGCTCTTGTCATGGATGTAATATAGCCTACATAGTTGCTAGCAAAGATAGAAACAACACAAAGTGACAAATAAACCCACAGTCACGTCTCTGTGCACCGCTAAACGCTCTGGTAAGTTGTCGACAGCTCGCTGCGCAAGTTGGAAGAAAGGAAGCAATCAAGGAAGGACGCAAAGAGCGAGAGAGAGAGAGAGATAGGGCGAGTCCAGGTCGACGGTGGCTTCGGGAAGATGATGACCAAGAGGCCAGTGGGCTCATCCTTACGATATGGCTTGTCACAGCAGAACCAGAGGTCCCCGAGACCGGGTTGGGTCCGAGCTTGCCCCCACCCGTCCGCTTGGTAGGCTTTGTGCGTTCACAGTTCCCGGTCCGCCAGAGGGAGATCGTGTTCCCGTGGCGTTTGGTAGGCGTCCACATGGTGCTCGAGGGGTGGGGGACGCTGGGCCTGAGGGGGGGGTCGTGAGCTGGCGAAGGAATCTCGGAGTGGATTGTTTCTATAGGAGGGCTTTCGGAAGCCTCCCATTGGAGCAGAGAATGGAGTGCATGCATTGGATGCGTCCAGGTATGGGTTCTAATTATAATACAACTGGAAGAAGTATTGCCAGAAAATTTAAATAAAAAAAAAATATATATATATATATATACGTTTGATTGCACATATATACAGTATTGTTAAAATAAACTCTAAAATATCAGCACACACTTCGTATAACTTTTTTGTTATCCAGATCTCATACCGTAATTCTTGTAATTTTTTTATTGGAAATACGGGCTTACTGAACAAGTTAATGTATCATCTGAATGGGACGTTTCTAAAATCAATACAGTTGTCGTTGTAAAGTATGGACTTCCTGTGTGTTCTATCATGTTTGGATCAGAAGAATATTGAACAAGTCAACTCTAGTTTTTGAATGGAATCAGCACATAGCATTAAACAACTATAGAACAGATCGCCCATGGAACTCCTGGTTGACCGCTACATATCCTTTTTAGTGAATGCGAAAGTAGTTTTTATAAATTATTAAGTCTTTAATATATAAAAATGAAGTTCTACAGCAGACTATTATATTGTTTTTCAACTTAAGTAAAAATTGTCACATTTTGCACTTATGTATGTATGAATATGTTTTTTTCGATATAACATTAGACATTATGTTACAATCGAGATTGAAAATGAGAATTTCGTCTTTTTACTTATCAAATGAGATATCTAAATTGGTGTCCAAACATGTCCATTTCGCATCAATTACCGCAGTATGCGAAGCTGGGTTTAGTCCTTGACAACCCAGTACCCAGATGGAAGTTTTTTGTGTCAACTTTTGGTCACTTCACTGCTGAAAAAGTGTAGAAAAATTGTCATAATCCACTCATGTAATAAGTAGTGACTAAGTGCGTCACCGATCATATAGGAACAGGGCCACAGGCCTACATCACTTACAACCACCACTAAGCTCAAGAGCAACGGAAAGAAGTGTCCAGCAATAGCATAGAGCCCTGAAGAAAGCATGAGAAAGAAGCATCGAGAGAGAGACCAACTACAATTGACATAGTTCATTCACCAGCTTCATGTTCCTGTTATGTGTCAATAGAATTTGCAAGTCTTTAGTCAACTACTCTTCATCGCAATTGATGTAGCTCGAGTAATTGCAGAAAAGCAGAAGCGTTTAGAGTCCCTTCTTCAAATCATTGCGCCAAAGAAAAACTATACTCTCGACACTTAGCTTGGCAAGTAAGTACGTGCCTAGCATCCTGCTTCAAGAATTCGATTGCTGCACAAGAGAAAGAGGTTACAGAAAGGAAAATGCATTGATCCATCTGTATCGCACACTGAGCTATCACTTGGACACTGGCAGTTTCATTTCTTTCACAAACAGATAATGCACGATCATGCATGCAGCTGACCTTTTCCAAGTTTTGAAGGTAATTCAACTTGCTCAAATTTTAACACTTGAATCCATTCTTTCTGAGAGAGATCAATTTTGATTTTATGTTTTATTCTCACACACACACCTCCTCCCCATGTGGGGCCACGAAAAGAAAACACTGCGTACATAACGATGTAGATTGTAGATGATGTTTTACAAAACTCCATAATGCCATTCTGCATTATGGCAATTAACACAACTTTCAATGAGAAGCTCAACGCACCCTTCCACATTTTCAAGCAAGAAGAATGATACAAGAGAAACATTGTTATTGTCATTCGTTCGTGTAAACGCAGAGAGCTTCTCAAGTCTCTCAGCGTCCCCTAATGCTGAATAGAGTAGGTGGTAAACCACTTAAATCTCTGAGATGGCTTGGACATTCCACTGCATCATTCAACTGCAGAAACAAGTGCCAACTGTTACAATTATTTTTATTGATTAGAAGAGAGTCACACGAAAACTCTCGATTGCATTTTGAAGAGCTCCAGAAAATCAAGAGGTCTGAAGAATACCCAAGCACCAACTAAAAGCAGGTATGCACATTTCCAGCAGACATTGCCAATTCTTCGAACTGTTTTCAATCAGATTTGCTGTGTAATTTCTCAGCAACAACCTTAATCGATAAACAAATGAAAATGTAGTGGTTAGTGCACCTGTGAGTTGATCTAGTGTGTGACATTGTATGATGAAAGCAGAAGCTCTCCAAATGCCTAATTTACGTAATACAAATGGGAAAAAGCAAGACCATCGGAAATGATCCAGCCAGAGTCCTCCATTAACCACAACCAAGATAGTGCACATTAGTCGTAACTTATAGAGATGTTACAAATGAACCACTTGAACGCAGCAGTATGTAACATACGGGAGGTCATTTTGAATGTGAACCATCCCGGGGTGATCATTGCATACTTGTCCATCAACATAGTAATTCAAGAGCCGGGCTGAGTAGCTGTAGATAGAACAATTGCCCACTAAAAGACCAGTCCGAACACACTCATATATACATCAAGCAGAAACTACGAGAAATCGTAGCACTATGAAGCCGATACTTACATCGTATTTGAGAATGTAAAAGTGTTCTCACTAGTAATAGCAATCAGAACCCAATGGTCAGACCAAAGGACGTTCTGCACCCAGAGACCCGCTACGTCAATTAGACACAGTTGTAATGAAACCAAGAACTCCAATTCTAACCAAAAACATCAAACTGAACTGAAAACATGCACAATATTGTTATTCACATTCGCAACATCAATCCTCCGAACGCCTCTTCATTCAGCTGGGTCATAGAAACACAAGAACTCATTCGTTAACACTGCAAGCAAGGTTCTACCATAAATGCCTTCAAAGGAGAATGTGGGCTAGATGCTTTTTCTCTCCTGCAAACAGAAGATGTCCCAAGTACACCTGAATTTGTTACGTTCGATAAAAGACTCTAGAAGAATTGGAAACTGACAGACAAAACCAATAAGCTCCACTAAGCAACACAGATATAAAGCAGCAATCCACATTAATACCTAGAATAGTAATGACCAAGTATCAATTAATCGAAACAAGATGGGCAAATTCACAATGATTAGCTTCGAAATATCTTTCAATTTGAGAGCTTACACGCTAACAGAACCCACATATTACTTTTAAGAAAAATTATTTCTAGTAAAGCCAACAAGGAAGTCTGTAAACCAGTAACTACAATGCAATCCTGCGTTCAGAACTACGACTTGCATCGCAAACCATCATTTGACAAGACGAACCCCAGAGTTGAGTCAAATGACCTGTTTCTCCATGCAAGAGCAGTGTGGATAATGTAATGCCCGTCACCACAAACGACAATACATCTGACCAAGCTGAGATATTTCAAACTTCAAGAGAGATTCAAAATATCTGGTAAGAATAAGTCTAATGCCTTGTAAGAGCAATAGATACACTTTATATCACATCTGATATGTAATGCTCAAAAGCCAGAATCGGATATTTTAGAGGATGTTATACCTGTTTGATCCCTTGTTATAACCAAGGGCCCACACACGCTCAAGTCCGTACTGAATAATATTACCCAACCTACATTAACAAATACAGACAAAACTGTTAGATGCGATGACAGTACTTTCATACGAAGAAAATCGAACCTAACATTTTGAATCGCCTTATCAATAGCTGAATAAATGCAAGCATCTGCGTTGGTCAGCATCCAGGTCCCGTTCTTGCATGGAGAAACTTCATGTACAAATGAGATACTAAACTTAACTAAATGTACAGTAGGAGAACCACTCACCTGTATTTTGTCGAATGCCAAATACGGACTGTCCCATATTCAGACCCTGTGAGAATTATTGGCAGGTCAGGGTGGAATGCTACTGCTGATATATTTTGACTACGTCCTAGTGTTTGAGCGCAAATTTGTGTCTGATAATCCCAAACCTACTCCACCATTGAGCAGACAATAAGTTCCTGAGTTATTCATACGAAAGCAATCACTCAAAGTAAGTGATTTTGTGTTGATTGTGGTGCAAAGTTAAAGCACCAAATGTGCAAGTCATTTGCTCATACATTCAGCTGCAGAATCAAGATTAGCAACAGACCAGATAGAGTCAGTACCTTCGCAGTTTGATCATCTGAACCAGTCATGAGATACGGTTGATCACCACCACTAAAGGACCCCACACAATTCATACCTTTCTGGTGAGCTTCTGGGTGAAATTAGGTTCAGCTGAACCCAAAATTCCAAATCTTTTTACAACGGAAGCTTGACATCTAAATCATCCACTGCATAGTTCACAAACTAATGAAAGCTTCAAAAGATATCAGTAATTAATGCTAGCCCTGCCTCTTTTAATAAATCAAAGCACTAGAAATTATCGGAGAGTAAACTCCCGCAATTTTATATGGACATGCCACGAAGAACGGAGCCACTGGTGGAACACCTTAATGATCCGATCTAAAGAAGAATTTGCAAAAGTATTCTTATCCTAGAGGTTGATGGTCACTTGCATGCCGTAATGAGAATGCCCCACAAAAATTTGAGTGCAGGTCCATCCTTTGTCCAGATCCCATATCTTAATGAGCAGATCATGAAATGGAGACACAACATAATGCACAGCAGGATGATCTGCGATACTACAGATGTAATCAGAATGGGCTCCAAACTGTTTCGCATGGTCCGTTATGTTGTAATTGTAGATCCGGATGAATATGTCATCGGCACTTGACACAATTCAATGCTTGCGAGATACAAACTTCGCAGATAGTACTGCCATAGAGAAACATGAACTCCACACAAGCATGTCATCCTCGCAATGAACTAACCAGATTGAGCAGAGATGAACAGCTACAAGTATAATTCGATTAACGTTAGGCTTAAAAAGTCTTTGCACACTGACAAAACCCTAACATTTGTAACATTTCAATACTTCTGATGCCGATTCACTATACATTACGTAGCAGTTAGAGCAAGAGCCCTTCAAGTCAGGTTGTCAATATGGGCATCACTTCTGAGATGATATTTCTTCAGGGTTGAACTTTTTACTCTTCAAAGGTAACAAGGCATCAATGACAATGCTTGGGAAAGTGTTGGTTAGCCCTTTGGCTACTGAGAATGCTATGAACTGAAGTGGAGGAACTTGTACAGAACAACATTTACACCCTTTAAAGTCCCGATTCAAAATCTACATAATGCAAATCAAAATCAATTCCTACCCAAATTATTCCTTGAATGCTTGTTAGAATGTACCAGACAAATCTGCACCTTTGAAACACTTTACATGAGTGTGCAGCAAACCCCCCAAAACAAATAGGTGTTGTACACAAGGAGACCAGAAATTACTATATCATTGGATAAAACTAAGGAGTTATATGAAAGGTGAGACAGGTGTGTTGCGTTTCTAGATCTAGTGTGTAGTATCTTTCTGTAACAACAATGAATTTAGTGGTATTTATTATGAATATTAATTTATGTCTTTCTATAGAATTATAATGTGATTTTAGGATAGGATAATGAATTAATGTTTCATAACATGGATTATCCTCTTTTGTCTATTGCAAGGAAAAAGATTCAAACTTATTATTTCACTATAGATAAATTTAAAAATAGGGGGTTTCAAACATCCACTTTTCCACTAATATTTCACCTATAATATTTTCTTGGAGTATTCCTTGATATTTCAAAATATTACTTGATACTTCACTGAATCACCCACTTTGCAAGGTAGGTGGTTTTAAAATTAAAATATCAAAAGAAAGATAACTCAAATATCAAAAGACAGGTAGTTCAAATATCAAACATCTTACTACTTATATTTTATATCTTCCCTCTTTGACTCCATATCACATTGCCTATTACCATGTTCATTGCTTAGAAAAATAATAGACCCTCCAAGATCTTAAACTATTGATCACTTTTGTAATTAATTAGAAGTTTGATAAAATGTTTGAAGAACATTGCTAGTAGGTTGAAAACAAATTTTATGACAACTTCTTTGAGTTGAATATTATAAAAGAACTTACAAGCATTCACAATACAATCGACAACTCTTGCTTCATATTTACATAAAATCTTATACCCAAATTGTGCAATTGGATTCTAAATTATTTATGAAACAATCAAACAAAGGATATGAAATGCATAAAAGATTGGATATTTTTTTGTTGCATTTTACATAATTAGCTTGCTTTTTAACTTTGGTAATATATGGAGGATTGAATTTACTAAGACTAACGGAGAACCATCAAAAAATTATAATGTTGTATTAAGAAGAACAATTTCCTTCAAAGAAAAGGTCCAAAACAAAGCCATGGTACACAATTATACATTGGATGTTTTACTAGTGCCAAACAAACTATAGTATGAGATATGTTATGTAAATGAGAATACAAGTTATAAATTAATTTTTCATTTGTATTTTTTCTTCACAAAGGCTATAATTTGTTCTATTTCATGCATATTCTTTTTTTGACTTAACTATAACTAAACTATGTCAAAGAGTTTTTTTTTTTTTTTTTCTCTCACATTTCCAAATCATCTCTCTTTCTTCTTCCTTTACATCTATTTTTTTTTTTAAATGCCATCTTATTCCTCTTCAACATCTCTTTCATTTCTAATTCGTTGTATAAATAAGCTTCAACTCTCTTACTATCTTGTTTTAGTAGAGCCAAGTGCTTTGTCATTATAGTGGTTTTTAGTCATGATGACTCCACAAATATATTGTTCTTTGTATCATACTTCTTGAAAGATTCTTTTTTGGATATTAAAATTAGTGGCTAAATCTTTTTTTTAGAATAAAAATAGTAGTGTTGCCAAGTAATAGACATATTGTCAACGACATGAACTAGAAGATGATGCATAAACTAATGAAATTTGTAAATAAAAAAAAAAAACGAAAAAAAATAAATAAAGAAGTATATATATTAAAAAAAAACTGGAATGGCTTATTGACAAAAGACAAGAAAACTTGAGATTCTTGAAACTAAACTAGAAGCAAGAAATGAATTAATAAGAATAAAGAAGGCTTCAGTCTTATCTCTATATATATTATCTAACTAAGGGCTATATAGCAATGTTCTATAGGACCTCCAATATGTGTTGACTTTATAGGATACATGCCTTGACTTATACGACAAGTTTTTTTATATGTGTGTTATATAGTTAGTTTCTTCTTCAAGGTACCAACATGTATGGTACATGGTTAACTTGTTGACCAAGTTTCTAACCTAAAAGTCAACAATCGACACCTATAAAGTTAGAGCAGTGTCTATGAAGCTTCTAAGCAGCTACTTTAGAAGATATTATGGAATTAACTTACTTTTATCTACTTCTATTTACTTCTACCTATTTATATATGTAATTATTGGCTTACATGTGTATGTCCATGATATTATCCTCTTTTCTAGGAAAAAGTTTCATGAGGAGCTATCTTCATATCTTGAGGAAATCCAAGATGCGGTATTTGCTACATATTCCAATCTTTGTTCTCTTCAAAGGAAGTTGATAGGCCTTCTAAGCCATCGATAGTGTCTCATATTAGTATCAAGGACAAGAACTCGATGAAAAAATAATTTAGACAAGTGAGCCTTTACTCAAAGAGAAGTAACAAAATATATATAAACAAGTATATATATTGAAATAGAAACTCGAATGGCTATTGCCAAAAGACAAGAAAACTAGAGACCCTTGAAACTAGACTAGAAGCAAGAAAGGAGTTGACAAGAGTGAAGAAGCCTTCACTCTTGTCTCTATATATACTATCTAACTAGGGCTACGTGGCGACGTTCTATAGGACCTCTAATATGTGTTGACTTTGTAGGACACATGCCTTGACTTACAAGGCAAGTTTTTCTACGTGTGGGCCACATAGTTAGCTTGATCTTCAAGCTAACAACATGTGTGGCACATGGCCAACTTGTTGACTACGTTTTTAATCCAAAAAATCAATTAAAGACACCTATGAAGTGAAAGCAGTGTCTAAGAAGCTTCTAAGAAGCTTTTATATTAAATATTATAAAATTAACTTACTTTTACCTACTTTTACTTACTTCTACCTATTTGTATATATAATTATTAGCTTACATGATTATAGCCATGACATTACCCCCTTTTCTAGAGACGAGTTCCACGAGGAGCAGTCATCATATGTTGAGAAAATCTATGATGCGACGAATTGTATTTGCCACATACTTTGATCTTTGTTCTCTTGGAAGATGATTGATAGGAACTCTCAACCATCGGTAGTATCCCATACCAAGGCAGGAAGACCACCCAGTTATTTGATCATTG